ATGCCTTATTACACTTTTTAATAAAAAAGCAGTATTATAGTATAGTATTATATGTTGCATACATGACATAGTATTTGCCAATTTTAACTGCCATTCTCTCATATTGTGTACAATTGACCGTGATTTGCCTAATTTTTATATTGCTTTGTAGGAAATGTTTACAATTTAAGTGTGCTGAGGATGGGAATTTGCAGTGTAGGCCAGCCCTGCTGTACCACTGAAGTTTCGAGTGGACTGGTTGGAGCAAAGCTTAGCTTAGAGTTATTTACGCATATTATAATACCGTACAATATAATTTTTAGTAAACGTTTTTTAATTACGTAAAAAAAAATAAGCATTTACTATTTTTAATCCGCGTTTTCAGCTTTTTATCCATCTGCAGGGGCTCCACCCACAGTATGGAAACCACTGCATTTAGCTAACTATTAGCAAGGGAGGGATAATCGCTTGTGCCACAGTGAAAACGTGTGTCCAAAATGTCTCCACAATGCAGGTAAGTGTTGTCAAGCCTGCACGACGTTTCAGAGTTTATATTAAAAAAAGAAAAACTAAACCAATCACAAAGAAAAACAAACATTTAAGCTAACTCAGCGAATGAAAACGTGTCAATCATGATTTTCATCAGCTGTGGAAAGAGCCTGTGAAGGTACGTATCACAAGTTTGTTTCTTTTGCCTAATTAAGACAATTCATTTTTTGTCTTTTCACTCATGAAGAATCCCCTTGTTGATGCATAAATACTATTTTAAGTCTGTCAGACGGTGTTATTTTTGGCATTTTCCATAGATTCAGTTGGCAAAGAAATGGGAATAAATTATGTGTTTCTGTAGTGCCTAAAGGTACTGGACCTTTGCTAAGTTGTTGTTGTTTTTTTTATGTGTCAATACAACAAAACTTCAACTGATGAGTTTGGTGCCTTTTTCTGCTTGAGTCATTTATTGGTCAAAGTTAAGTGGTTTACTAAAAATCTCCAAGTGTCCAACTTTGGAAGACCTGCAGAAAGCCTGGAAAACTCATCTTAAAAGGAAAATGGTAAATGGCCTGTATTTATATAGCGCTTTACTAGTCCCTAAGGACCCCAAAGCGCTTTACATATCCAGTCATCCACCCATTCACACACACATTCACACACTGGTGATGGCAAGCTACATTGTAGCCACAGCCACCCTGGGGCGCACTGACAGAGGCGAGGCTGCCGGACACTGGCGCCACCAGGCCCTCTGACCACCACCAGTAGGCAACAGGTGAAGTGTCTTGCCCAAGGACACAACAATCGAGACTGTCCAAGCCGGGGCTCGAACCAGCAACCTTCCGATTACAAGGCGAACTCCCAACTCTTGAGCCACGATCGCCCATCGAAAAGACTGTGGTACAGGAACGAAAGTGGACGATGGGCAATAGCATGCTGGTGTTTCTACTTTTGACTTTAGGTTCAAATTCAACCTTCAATTTCATGTCAACTGTGCAACAGTGAAATGCTCTTACTGTGTTCATTTATATATCCTGGTGTTGAGTTTTAAGTTTGGTTTCTGGTTTATGCCTGCCATTAGTTTCCTTAATATTTGTTTGTGCTTCCCTTTGTCTTATTCCTATATGTATGCCTTGGTCCACCTGTGCTTATTGATCATCTGTTAATATTCATCGAGGATTGAAGATTAAATATTTACATATGCTAACATCATTATTTCTGTTGTCCCGTCTTAGTTTTGCTTCCTCTCTGTCCAGTTCAACTTTTTACAAATTTATATCAGATTTATCTATGTAACACCAAATCACAACAACGGTTACCCAAAGATACTTTATATTTTAAGATTAATACCCTACAATAATATAGAGAAAACAGAAAAAACAACCCAACAATCAGGTGACCTCTATGAGCAAGTGCTTTGGAGACAGTGGGAAGGAAAAACTCCCTTTTAACAGGAAGAAACCTCCGTCATAACCAGGCTCAGGTAGGTGCAGACGTCTTGCATGACAGAGAAAACAGTTGGGGGTGAGGGGAAGAAGGCAGAACAAAGACATACTGTGGAAGAGAGCCTGAGATTAATAATAACTAATTTTTAAATGAAGAAAGGTGTGAAAAAGGTGAGTGAAGAAGAAACAGTGCATCATGGGAAGCCCCCAGAAGTTGTGGCCTGCTGCAGTGTTAGTAAGTGAGGATTCAGGGCCACCTGATCCAGCCGTGGCTACATGTGCTAAATAACTATATATAAAGAGGGAACGATTTAAGCCTGCTCGAGAGGAGGTAGAGAGGATGCCTGTCCCCCAAATACGACCTGGGAGCTGGTTCTCAGCTTGTTCCCTGTGTCTGGTCTCATATAGCCCAGTCTTTCCTGGTTCCTTTGTTTGGGAACAAAACAGACATCTGTTTTGTTCCCCTCTTTCCTTCAGCCAAGTTTTTTCTGTGATGGTCTTTGGATTTAATCTCTGCAGTGTGCTTTTGGCTTCTCTTTCCATATAGACTTCAGTTTTGGGGGCTTTGAGTCATCCACAATAAAGACTTGATTTGGTTTGGTAATCTGTCTGCTGTGTCCTGCTTTTAAGTCCTCACTACACAATGCTCTGACATTATGCTGTTTATGCTGTATGTAGTTTTATATATGTAAAATATCTCTCAATAAAACTTTCAAGAATGCATTTTAATCTTAACAAAACATTCTTCCATCATTGCTTTTAAATCTCTCTGGCATCCATTCAGAGGATGCCTGCGTTAGGCTAATGCATCCACGGGATATGGAAGATGAAAACACATATACTCACTGTTCATTTCACAACAGGTGGAAAATGCACAGATTAGCTAGAAGATTAAAACCACCTACATCCCCTTTGTGCTACTGAACACATCAGAGTATAGACAGGAGATCTGCACCAATATTTCAGGAGGTGGTTTTAGTCAACATCTATATGTATTCCAAGATTTTTCACTCAGTCGTCATAATAATGTAAGACTATCAGTTTTATTCACTTCATCTGTCGGAGATTTTTATGTTGTGGCTGAATTATGTGTTTTGCCTTTTTGTAGGAATAAAACATCAGCGGGGACGTGACACCACTAATGTCATGAGGCAGCATCTCAGCCTGATGAATGCACAGCGTTCTGTCTGTGCTTTCAACAACTCTGCATTTAACAGTAAATCCTTTAAACATTAATCCCTTAGCAATGTGCAGAGTAGCCCCCAAGTGAAAACATAAATGACCATGATTTCTATGCAGAATGTAGCCTGTATTGGAGAATGACTTAAAATGCATTTATGATAGCCGTGCTAAAGTGGTAAAGAAGTGCTAATGCATTTAATTCTACTAAAAACCAGAGGCATAAATGCATAGATCATAACATGGAATATCTACACTAGTCTGAGTTTTTGTTTGTTTGTTTTTATTTTTTGAACCTGGTAGAGTTTATTCATTGTTTTTTAAAAAAAAACAAAAAACAAACAAAATTGCATAATTTAATTTCACTGCATTCGTGTTATCATCCTGGTTTCTTATTTTCTGCATATTTGTCACACTTGACCTAAACAGAGTACACTGAAAACCCAAATACTCAAAGTAATTAAATAAATTAAGTAATGTAAACTTTTTTTAAACAGGCCTACTAGCTCAAATAGCTTATGCTCATCTAACATGAAATAGTTCAACTTATTATTTTTGATCCACTCTGATCAACAGTTATTTTTGCATAATTTCATTTTACTTATTTATTTAAATACTGTGTCAGTCATATTTGGGAAGTTTTGATTCCCGAGGTCGATTTGACCCTAAACCTGAAAGTTATTAGTTTTTACTCCGATTAAACAGCTGGATTGATTTAAATTCTGAGAAAAGACAGTGGAGTAAAAGTAAAATGTCTTTGTCTTTTATCAGTTGCTCACATTATGCACAAAGTTTAACAAATTGGTTTTTTTCCCTTCTTTTTTGCTTTGTTGTTTTGGGTTGCATTTTAGGTTATTGTAGTCAAAAGGTGGATGTCAAATATAGTCAAAATATTGGAGTCTGGATAAGCGTCACCTTTTAAGTTCATCAGCTTAAAAAACCTGAAGAAGCTCTGCTAACTTGTTCAGGTTTACAGTGTAGCTTTGCATAATTCACAGTTCAATGTAAGCCTCATAAACCTTAAACTTGACCTTGATGTCTCCTTTCAGCTTCCTCCCTTCAGGTCAGCTTTCTTCTGATCGGTTGTTGATAGGTTTGCTGAATAAGTGTGTAGCCTGTTGGACTGACCATAAGAAAAGAAAAGAAAAGAAAAAGTGATCATGTTTTGGCTCACAGGGAGGATTTTTTCATAGGCTGACCTCTTTATTTGATAATTCTGCCATGTTTATTATAGGTGTCCAACAATATATGACACACATAGCTTGCTGTGCATGTTGCTCATTTTAGTTCCATGGCGGCACATTTGAATTGTTTTAGTTGCTTAGTTGCTTTTTTTTTTTTTTTGTCTTACCCTGAAACTACACAAAGGGTGGCATTAAAAAAAAAACCATCATGGCAATGTGCTCTCTAAGTTTATTTCACCTGATCATTTGATCGTTCCTTTAGTTCCCAAGAAGGGGGACTTGTAACCAATTTTCCCCCCTTTTTTAGTATTTAATCCATGAAAGTCAACATGGCTTTGCAATTTTATTGCATTTTCAGTAGCAAAACACAAACTGTGCATTAAGCTGATCACCCCCCTGTTTGCAGTTTCATGAACTGTTGCATAACCTCTCGGCATTAGACCAGCACACATCACGAAACCGAGGAGTGTTAGTCGTTTTTCTCCTTTCTTTGCCCCTCCCCTGCAAAACGGCAGGTGCCTCTGGTAGCGGGAGGTCGGGAGGATGGCGGCGGAGTGTCATCCAGCAATAAAAATACATTTATACGCGTTGAATCTTTCCACTTTTAGACCATTAAAGTCGCACTCATATTTCGTCAGTCCACTGGCCGTTGACGCAGCGTTATCCAGAAGGTGTGTGTCACTATGTGCACGGACTGCCTCTGCGTCGTCTCTGAGCCCCTCCCTCTCCGAGTCCCAGCATCACCGACAGCCCCGCGATGCTGTCATAACCAACACGTTTATCGTTGACGACGCAGAGAGGGGCTGCCGTGTTTTCTGAATGGTAACTGTGATCGGGTTGCATTGATTCCGAAGCAGAATACGGGCCTTATGTATGTATGTGCGACCACCTTCGGAGACATAACGGGCTGCTCGTTACAGGCTGAAGCCGTTTCTTCGAGGATACGTGCGCGTCATATGTTATAGGCTATAGCTGAGGTCCATGTGAATACATGCTTTTAGATGTCGGGAGGCTTTCCGAGGGCAGTACTGAGCTATAAAAGTGCGGCAGCGATGTGCACGTCCGACGGCCACACGGAGCGAGCGCAGTGAGAGACCGTTTGTTCCACCGTAGTCTTTGACTTTTCAGCTGTCGGTCACAGGCAGGGTTCAGGCTCTCCGCTTCAGCTCCTCACTTGGTTCACCGCCTGGTTTTATGCGACGTCATGAGTTGATCGCGCCTGACAGATGTTGCTGTGTTGCAGATGCACAGGCATCGCTCCTCGCGTTCTTCTCACTGCTGTTTGAGCGTTGATTAGGTTAAATAATAATAATAATAAGAAGAAGCTGATTATATTCTAAATGTTAAGCCCTCGCTTTGCTCTCGGACAGCTCGCAGCGTTCATTTAGTCTTCGTGATTGCATAAAATGATACCTGGATCCGCCGCATCAATGCTACCGTCAGCAGAAGCCGCGAAACTGTACCAGACCAATTACGTCCGCAACTCCCGTGTGATCGGACTTCTGTGGGCCATCTTCACTATTCTGTTCGGTATTGTTAACGTGACCATCTTCTCGCAGCCCTATTGGATTGGAGATGGCATGGATACGCCGCAGGTCGGCTACTTCGGCCTTTTTCATTATTGTATTGGAGATGGAGTCTCCAGAGACCTGACCTGCCAGGGTAGCTTCACTGAGTTCGCCGCTATCCCCTCTGGTGCGTTCAAGGCCGCCTCCTTCTTCATTGGAATGTCTATGATGCTGGTCGTCACCTGCATCGGCTGCTTCAGTCTCTTCTTCCTCCTCAGCACATCCACCGTGTACAAGATCTGTGGCTGGATGCAAGCAGCATCAGGTAAGTGTCCTTTTGGAGGCTAGCTCACCGCCACTGCTTTTTTTTTTTTTTTGTAACGTATTTTTAAGTATGAATATTGTCTAAATGCAAAATGCCTGCAAGAGCTTAGAAGCTGGCCAGCTGTTTTCTGTGTATGCTCTGCTAGGCTCAAAACACTGGGATGGATCGAATTTTGATTGATGAGTTGATGAGATAAATTAATTGGGAGCGGCCAGGGTGAAAATAAACAGTCTCCAGGATCTCCCCGGGAGCTGGCAGTCAGCCCTCCCGAGCAGACCGTGCTGTCCATGGTGCTGAAGGGCTGCTGAATGCATGACCAACATCGCTGGGGTATTTACAACCCGAACAAGTTTCTTTCTGAAAGCATGGATTACAGTTTTAGTAACATATGAAACATTATCCAGCTCATGATTAAAAATAAATAAACAAGGCTGCTTATTAATAATAACTATTAAAAACTGATTCATTTTTTTCCTTGTATTTGTCTTACATTTGAACAATTTCAAAAAAAACCCTTGTGTCTGCATCAATGAGAACCTTTGGACTTCAAGTTTAATCCAGTGTTTTGGATTTCATGGGATATATTGTAATAATATAATCACAGCAGAGTCTCTAGTGTTTTAGCGTAACCAACTGAAAATGTTTATATGCGGTCTTGTCTTATTTGTAATGCAAAACCACATGGAAAGTGCACACCTATTCCCACAGTGATTAGATAGCATGGTGCAGGCAGCTAGGCGGGCACACACAAATTTAGATTAAAAAGTTTCTTTTAGCTAAAGGACACAGAACAACATAACATAAGCATTAAATCACACGCTATGTTGGTAATATAGCATATCACATGTATAGTTACAATGCAGCCCAATTTAATGTAACTTGTTATATGCAAATGATCTTCAGCCTGTCCTCGCAGCCAGAAGACGTGTGTGCTCTTATATGTCAGAGCTGGTTTTCAAAATAAGTCGAGGTCAGTCTTTCAGCTGCTGGCAATGTATTCTCACTAACGGTGGGCTGATGTCAGCGGCAGCAGAGGCCTCGATCATCTGAAGAGTTCAGACGCTGCCAAACATCGGTCCTAGCTCAGCTGCACTAGTGGTCAAAGCAGTCGGCTTGCTGTTTGCAACAAACAGAAATGAGGCAAAGTGGAGGGGAGGGGGTATTTGGAAAGGCTCCAGCTCAGTGTGTTATGTTTGGGCTGAATTAACGCAATAAGCCCGTCTAATAAGAAGACCGCTGGGCTTTGTGCTTCTGCAGCTAAGAGATGAAAGAGAAAGCCAAAAGGAGAGACCCTGACCACAGCAAGTTGGCACAGCGATGCCTAATGAGCAAGTGTGACTGTTTAGGACTGTCAAACTTTATTACGCTTAGAATCAGCTTAACCTTCAGCTGACTTCACTTATAGAAGACAGGTAGCCCACTGGCAGTTCCTGTGCAAGTCATAGATAGTGATGAATGGCAGCTCAGTACAAAATAAAGGGAATACAAAAGGGTTCTTCATTGAATTCTTTCCTTTTATCTTATATTTTTCACTTTAAAACATTTTGGTAGCCCAGTATATGACAAATCTCATACCTGTAAAGCAAAGTGAAATTAAACCTGTCAGCTGGTCAGCGGTAGCTTGTTGTCACCCATCCCTGCTGCTAGATTGGCCAAGGACACAGTCAGTATTCAGAGCACTCTCCGCTCCATGGCACCAGCTTTTCTCTCTGCTCCAGCAATCATCCTTATGGGTGTCTTATAGACATTTTTACTGGGTGATATGACTGGTATGAAAACACAGCATGTAACAGTACCATGCCTCATTGAGTAAAGGGTCTATTCAGGCACACTAACTGAAAATCAAGGTCATACTTGACGCGTATACGTAATTTAAGTGGTACTCTGTATGCCGGTTTTGCAGGAGCTTTCATAAATCCCCTTGGGCTGAGGTCAGAGGCTGGTGGATAAAACACTTAACATAGAAAACTCACGCTGTTGCACAATGCTCCTCGCCAGCGAATCAGCGTGTGAGAACGCATCTCTAGCCATCTTTTCTGTGAAGTCCAGGTAGAAACATTGAATGTTTCATGAGAAAGTGAACCAGCAGGACACATTAGAAGTCTCAAAATGCCCACCGTGGCCAAACAAAGCTGAGTGCAGAGAGTGCTCGAGCATCCAGCCGGCCTTTGATGGGCTCGTACCCTTCTATACTCTCCTCAGCAGAGCCATTTCTGTCTGTGCCCCTGCACAAGTTCATGGCATGTAATTATAGGTGTGTACAACCTTTCTACCCCCCTCATAGAGCTTAAAGACAGCAAAATATATGATGCACGCTTTTCTGGCCTTTAACTGCAGTTCTTCAGGGGTCTGCACACCAATTATCTACATATACAGCGAGGTCAGCGATAATTACTTCACTGTTTTATAGACTGACGTGCGTACTTTGCCTTGTCGGCCGGGCTGACAGACTTTTTCTGTAGTTCGCGCTGCAGTGTCTGTTTTTGAGAAGAAACAGTGTGAGTCATACACGTGAATGAGCAACACCAAAGCTCTGTAAAGCAGGAAATGATGTGCAGACAGAGGGTGACCTATTTGGAAATATACAAACAGGTTCGTTTTCAAAGGACTGCAATTTCATAAAGGTCAGGTTTCTACTTTTCTGACTTCTTTGTTTATTGTAATATTTCTTTCTTTGTTTTATTGATACTCAAGAATAACTCAAGAACAAGCCATCATTCCTAGTAACGTATGTGCAAAATTGTGTGCTTTTTGTAGTATTTGCATAATTACCTCTGATGATTAATTGATACATAAATGACACACTTTGCCAGGAGGACTTATTGCACAATCAGGAGTCATGGGTTTTCAAGAGGTTATGTTTTATATTGAGGTAGTTCTATTTTGCATAAGAGGATGCTATATCACAATAATTAAAAATAATAAAAAAGGCTTGTATTCCTGCTTTCCTAATATGGCAAGTTAGCGTCCCATAAAAAGACAGTTTATGCTTAATTAGATCAAATATTTAATATATACACTCGCTGGACACTGTATTAGATAGAAACCAGGTTGGGCCCAATTTTGCCCAATCTTTCATGTTGTTTATGCCAAATTCTCACACTACCATCTGAATGTTTTAGCAGAAATTGAGACTCATCCAACCAGGCAATGTATTTCCAATCTCCTGGCGTCCAATTTTGATGAGTCAATGTGAAATGCAGCTTCAGTTTCTAGATCATAGCTGACAGGAATATATCACCCACTGTGCTCTTCTGCTGCCATAGCCAGTCTGCTTTGAAGTTGTTATACATTCAGAGATTTTCTTTATTTTCTGCATGACTTGGTTGCAAAGAGCAGTTATTTGAGCTGCTGTTGCCACTTTATTTTTAACTCAAAGCAGTCTGGCCATCTTCCTGTAACTGACTTCTAGGTCACTTCACTTAGGTATTATTAGCAAAACTGGTTTTTTCAACCACACCCCAAGTTTAGTTTTCAGCTCCTGATCCAGACATTCTCTTCCGCTTGTCCTTGTCAGGGTCACGGGGGGTAGGGGGATGGCCATCCAAGTTGTCTTAAGGCAAGACGGCAGGTACACCCTGGACAGGTCGCCGGTCTGCCGCAGGGCTAACACATAGAGACAGACAACCATTATGGGCAATTGAGAGTTACAAATTAACCTTTTGCCACTAACTGCATGTCTTTGGAATGTGGGAAGAAGCCGGAGTACACGGAGAGTTCCCACCATGCCACCATGCTGCCTAACTAACTGGCAACTCCTGATCCATTCGTTAATAACTTTCTCACTGAAGCACACTGAGTCACAGTAGTTGAGCGTGAGTCACAGAAAGCTAGAAAAGGAACAAAGTGTCACATGTTGAATATGGGATTAGTTTCTCATCAAACCAAACTCACCGAGTTCAAACAGATCAAACAGGATCATCACATCAAAACTTCAAACCTCTATGCTTCAAGCAGTGGTGAAAAAGGACAGTGAGAACAAGCGAGGTGATGAGAAAAAGAAAAAAATAATAAGGACCAAATAACAAAAGGTTTTGAGGTAAACAAAAAACCCAGGTCAGAGACAGAAGGCAGACAGAAAACAAATGAGACGACAGAGCTCAGCGAAGACGAGCTGGTCTTTCTGGTCACCTCAGTCTCTCTCCACATATTTCTCTTTGCATCATTATCTCCGTTCGCTGTTGTTGGCTTTTACTCCCATAGTCCATCTGCTCTATTGAGAGGCTTGTTGTGAAAGGAGCTTTAAATCCTGGTTGAATGTAGAGGTGGAAAGTGGTTGGAGCTCAGCATGAGAGCAGCAGTCACTGAGCTGCACTTGTCACTGCCGCTAGACCAGAAATGCTCCAGCTCTCTAGAGTAAACGCTGCAAATGAGAACTTTTGTCCAGATACAAATCAGACTTTCAAAAGCAATCTGAGGAAAAGACTGATTTTGATGCTTTTTCTAGACATTTCAGATGTGTTCCACTTCTCTACATGTTAATGCATGTCCATCCCTCCTCGGGGACTGATACACTTTTTTAGCATTGAGCTAAAAAGGTCCAACTCCTTCAAGCTGCTGTTATGAATCACTATGTTATAGCAGCATAGCATATAAAGACCTCCATATATATTCAAATATTGGAAGTTTTAAATTTAATTTCAAAAGGTGATAATACATTTTCTTCAAAATGATACATTCAGTTTCAGCATTTTCAAAGTTTTTGATCACTGCTTGCTGCAGGTTGAATTTGGTTTATGGCACATTACAGCTGTCTCCCGGCAACTGTTGTTTGTCCATTTTTGACATCTCTTTTTTTTCTATCAGTATTTTATGTCATCCACGCAACTCCATTTGTGTAACTATGATTGCAGCTGTGACAGAAAGTTATCCTTCTTTAGACCTTTTTGAGATTTTGCTGCAGTCTGTTAAACACGTGACAGAGACAGCCTGTGCCCAGTCACTTGCACTGCTGCAACTCTGTACTAAACAGAGTAATGTGTCTCAACAGTACATTAAAA